TATATATATAATATATATATATATATATATATATATATATATATATATATATATATATATATATATATATATATATATATATATATATATTATTATATATATATATATATATATATATATATATATATATATTTATATATATACATAAATATATTAATTTATATATAATTGTGACCTTTGTATCTATCAGCAGTGTAACATTAGATATCTACACTTTTGTCAAAGTATGAATCACTGTCACAGAACAATATAAATATACATGTCTGTATTTAGTGTATCAATTTATGTTCGATTCAAACATCAAATGGTATAGTTATTTACTATACGATTTCGCAGATGGATACGTTTTTATGAGCATACATGTTTGTATTTTTGTTGTCTTGAATTGATAGTCCGTAGCCCGGTTGCGAAATTAATCGGAGCTACTTCTACACCACACCGTCGATTTTTTTGTTCAAAGTAGCACTGATCGTACTATTGAAGTTGCGATTACAGACACAAGTGTCTACAATACGTGAATGTATAATTTGTATGCGTATGTCCACATGATTGTAATAAGCCTTGTGAGGGGGAATACACTTTGCGGTGAAGAGCTTGCATTCTCAACAATCTAGTATTCTGCAAGCTGATGGATTTTCTGATTACATGAGTATTTTTATGCTTGTCTGTGCGCTTGTTTACATGCATCTATACATTTGGATTCATCCCTCGGCTGTTATGTCTACAGCATTATTCAATCCATCATTCATATATACATGTCTGAAATTGTTGTGACCCGGCTCATACCTCTATCATAGGTGTTGTAAATTTGCTACTTGTAACCGGCATCAGAGCTCGCATAGTAATCGCCTCTGATCGAACTTACTCCATTGTATCGTAGGTTACGACCATGATGTCACAGTTAAGCAGAAAGCAGATGTATTTGGGGTGCGCATGCTGGGCGAGAGAATCATCGACAATCTGATCATTTTGGACAACACAGTGGATGGTAGGTATTTTTAGTTACGTTTTAATTATCATGCACATTGCTGGACACATCCGTGAGCGCGTATGCTTATGTATTCGGCATGTATTGTAGATTCCAATGCAATTTCGTCCTGCAGTCATACCTGATACTCAATCATACTCAATTTCGGTTTGCACTATAACTTGTTATTCTTGGTTTGGGCTAGCCATGAACGGGCTCTGTACGCATATATATCAGTGCCACGTGTCGTGCACTGTGAGTGCGCATCTCAAGAATAATATCGTAAGACAATGCTTGTATTCCAATGGAAGCTGATCTGGAACGTGTTGTTATCATTTTTCTTCTGCCTGTAGTCTTGAATATTCTGCTGCCGTGCATAGATTTGAAGCAGCTTAAGATTGCATTTACATACTCTTTGCAAGCAAACGTGTGTGGATTATAAGATCGCCTTTTCATATTACAAACCTGCACGCTCTCGGTACTTGAGGCGACTCAACTTCAGATGTTGTGCAATTTGTCGCCGGTACACATCAATTAGAGATGGTATTTTCAAACTTTCATAGCATGCTAGATATTGTGTAGATGCGTTCTGTTCTTTAGCTCGATTGAAGCCTCAAATCACTTTTGGATATTCCTTGTTCGCCACTTGTTCATATAGCTTTGGCAAAGTCCAAGGTTGACGGTGTACAGTTGATGAGTTATGTAGACTCTGGGGGCAACCTCCTGATTGCTGGTGGTGTTGAAACAGGTATGTTCGATCAGTTGTACTGCGCATCTGCCTTAGAATTTGTCTAGCACCCGTTTCCGCGTTTGATATTCCAAAGGGCGCGGTGTTGTGCGTGTGGATTCTTCCAGGGCATAGACTCCTGGGTATCGCATTGCTCATCTCTATTTTTTGCACCTGGACGAACGTGGTGGGTTCCATCTATTTTAGGAATCTATTCCATCAGCAGTGATTGGGGTATCACAGGTTGTATCTCATTTAAATCCCAGTAAAATCGGTGTCAGTCATGACCATCTAAATTGTGTTCCGTCCATTGCAGGTGCCTTGTTCGACCAAGTCGCACGTCACGCTGGTTTCGTGACGTCGCCACATAATCTGCAGTTGGTGGATCACTTCGTTCCCCACAGCTTCGATTCCGGGAATCATCAAACAATTGCTGTAGAAACTGCCAAAGCAAACAAGGTAAGAATTGCCCATAAGTGTGCCTAACCAAGACGCAAGCATTCGCCTGCTCGATCAGATTCCACATACTCGCTGATGGCGTGTTGATCATTGTGTGAAGTCAGACTACTGCCTGATAGCTGTAATGCGTGCCATTCCTGGGAATACGTGCGTACAGATTTGGCCATGGTGTTATCTGCCTGTATTTATTGGATGTCGTTCTTGGCCACGTTCTGTGTACGCCAAATTATCCAGTCCTCAGGTTGGCAAGTATCCGTAAGTTTAGTATGCCTCATGTTTTCAAACAATCCGCCCGTTGTAGAAACATTTGAAATGTTATTTGACAACATTCACTATATCATAAAGTGGTGGTCTTGCAGACACGCAATCGTTTCTATCGGTACTATCGAAGATATGAAGTGTCTTAGGGTAGTCATATCTCTCTTGTTATACAAACCGTATTAAACATTTGTGCAATGATTGCGCTTTGACTGCTCGAGCAAATCTCAAGCCTCCTATCCACCCACCAATAGGCCGTGCTGGAGACGGACGCGTCGGCTCTTATCTACAACGGCCCTGCGCTTAAAATCGCGCGTGGCAAATTATCGTTCGCTGTTCTGCGCGCACCCTCCACTTCATATGCGGGCGCTCACTGTCACGGCGAGGATTGTGTCCTTGTGGGCGGCATGGAAGCACGCAACAACGCGCGTGTGCTCGTTGTTGGATCTACTGATATGCTCAGGTGTGTGTGTATGTGATGTATGTTGTGACTGAGAGGATGCTTAGTGTTCTCTCGTACGATTTTGGTCTATTGTTGTGAGCTTGCTTTAGATCCGCCTTGGAAGGGTTTGAACTACTACGTTAGACGTGAGCAAAGTTGCAGAATATAAACACAAAATTTTGGTCAATAAGCCCTAATCGAAGCCGTCACTCTCTATCCCAGTGACGCCAACGCTAAAGCGAGCAAGAGCAACGAGGTAGCTCAGAAGAGTATGATGGAGTGGATCACCATGCGCAAGTCGGTCGTGCGCACGCGTAAAGTGGAGGTGCTGTCGCTTGCCCCTAAGCTTGAAGGTGCATACACGGTCATGGACGAGGTCGAGTACGCCATTGAGCTTGAGGAGTTGGTGAACGGAGAGTGGGTTGGATTTACAGGCCGTAGTGATCTGCAGATGACTTACACGCGCATGGATCCCTTTGTCACACGCGATCTGACCGAGGCTGGCGATGGACGATACTTCACTCGCTTCAGTCTGCCTGATGTGTATGGTCTCTTCACTTTTAAGGTGTGGTGTATTTTCTTGAGATAAATGACTCATTGTCGTGCCTTCCTCGGCTGGTATTTCTTGATTCATACCATATTTGGCGTGGTGTGTATTGCCTTCGTTGGGTGTCCCGAATATTTGTGATATGTTGTATTCTTTTACAAATAGGGATCAGGTCGTCAAAGTGTCAGGTTGTCCCTTTCATCAGTATTATAACTCTCACATTCTTTATATCAGGTCAAGTATACGGCGCATGGCTACTCATGGGTGGATGAGGAACTGACTCTGGTGATCAAACCACTGCGAAACAATATGCACCAGAGATGGATTCCTGGAGCTTTCCCCTATTATACATCAGCGCTGTCTATGATGGGAGGGGTCCTAGCTGTTTCGTTTGTGTATTTATACCACTCTGACGTACCACAGAAGAACAAAAAGGTTTGAGCTGGTAGTTGATACCTTTCCAAGGGCATTCAATCTGTTTGTGTATTCGTTTAGAAGCGAATGTAGAAGTAATAAAAATACGGTGACGGGTGGAGAATCAGAAGACCTAACTCGAGGAGCTTGTCTTGTTTGCACTTTAAGTTTTCCGCATTTCCTAGTATCGAAACCATAGCAGAAACTTGTGTGTTGTATTGGGGTTCTACCTAAGGGCACTTTATTTATTCCAATAAGGAGAAGGTACAGGTAGACTCTGCGAACGTTTCAGTCGTGTATCCGATGGCTCGCACACCAGTTTCGAATTAGGCTGCAATCTCTTGATCTCTTCTTTCAGGCTCGTAAGCTTAGCTCGTAGCAACTCGATCCTCTTTTTGGCTGCGTTGAATGGTATATTGAAGTTAAATTTTTTATACGTCGTTGTGTACAAACCTTCCCGCTCGCAGGCAATGAACAAGGTGGCATGACGTATCTCCATACAACGATCCAATAAATTCACGCAGTAAGCGAGAGACACTGTTACCTTCTTGGATCACCTTCAGATTGCTAGGTCGTTTCGTGGTCGGTAAAATAGGCATTTCCAATACAGTCCCCGGTGGCATCTGGATGCGAACTTTGTTTGTGAGCAATCTCAATTGTGAAGTTTAATATAAATGGGCTGTACATAGGAGCGAGGTTTATATTACCTGATCTTCGATGAGCTTATTTGTTTGTTGAAGGATTGCGTAGAGCGCTTTCAGGCCCTCATTAATTTCCTTCCTTGTTCGCCTGACGGCATCTCTGTTGTAAGGAATGGAGAATCGTACAAGACTGTTGAATTGTCACTCACTACCACTATTCCACAGCATATGCGGTTGCGGGACGCACATGTCCAGAAGTTCGTAATTGCAAATGACATACAAGTGTGCCTGTCTCCTTTCCTCGGGCAAAGACTTTTGGGTCCTGACAGTGAGATCAGGGTCAGCAGTTGCCTGTGAAGTATCAGCATAGTTGTTGTCACTGAGCGTGAAGCATTGCGTAAATGTAGAAAGTATATATAACATAGCCACTTTTCAACGACCAACATTGGGAACGTCCAAACTCCGAAGGCGGGTCTGCAAAGGCTGTGTCTATATATATATCACTAGCAGCAGAAAGCAGAAGCACCACTGCACGCCAAATTGTGTCTATGGTCATGTGAATAGGTTTTGCGACTTCTGTTGAACATCCATAGGAATTTTGTATGATGCATATATTCACATTCTGTAGTATGCGCCCTGCCTAGCGCATGAAGCGGCAGCTGTCCTTTAAGTTCTTTGAGAATCCACACTAATCGAGTACGACATACAAGCTGACTGCCATCACTCAAGGAATCGACTCTATCCGCAGCTGGCTGGTGTGCTGGTTGGATAATAAAGAAACTTTTAGCTACTGCAATTAATCCATGATTTCGCACTTGCTGTATCGAAAGTTCAAGCAATTATGCAATAGTTGAAGTACGTCAAACATCGTGCTTTCAGCCGATAGACTGATTAAGTCTCGCGGTGTTTCGGATAAACACGATATATGCTTCATGCTCAAATACTAGGAGAGATAGAACATGGCATATTGAATACCTAGTGTTTGGGAGCCACAGGGGAAAGTAGCTCCTCTCGACGAGCTATCTGTGTCATTCGGTAAGTAAGCAGCCTGCGGGTGGTGTGGAAACTGCCACTCATATAGTCCGTAAGGTACCTGGGACAAATGGGTTGAATATGATTGGGCTTCTGTTCCCTGCGCACCCGGTTGCGGGCGAAGCGGATGCTGATGCCAGGGCATTGGCGGTAGTCGTGTTGGAGGTTGCACGTGCGACAGTGCCCTTGTCAGTACATGGGCTTTAAGTCGTGTATCCACTGTCGGCACTTCTAGAAGATGCGAGGCCTTCTGATGTGGAGAGAAATTGTCTCCAGGGCCCGAAGAAAAGCGCTCATGGTTATAGTACGGTCCTGAGGCCTGCCGTTGAGATTTCTTCTCTACTCGAACCCTTTGCTTGCCACCGTTGCTATTTGTGTCCGATAACGTCGTGTCGCTACTGCCAATGCATTGATAAGCGATAGCGTGTGCCAATCCAGATTTTTCCTCAGCGTTAAGATCGAGAAAGGTGCCCTGCGCCAACGTACCAAAGGGGCAATTCAAATACCGGTCCAAGTTGCAATCAATGCCTATTGAGATTGTCCCATGATCCGAGGTGGGTTCGGCCACGGGTATTGTATTTACTTCATTTACAAGCGAAGTATTCGTATGTAGTTGCGTATTGTATTGTCCATTATGGACATAATCGCTGAGATCATATGCACAGGGGAACGTATTATTCGATTCACCACTCATGACTATTGTGTTATTGCACGGTGATACATACACGCAATGGCACGCGCTAACGAGGTCACAATCGTTATGAGCGTGAATACATATCAGCGTAAAATTTATTAGGAACACTAAACTTCACGCATCGAATGTCATCATCAGATCGATATAAAAATAGTAGATGCGCACATACGCAGAATCGCATGTATATATTGGCACAATACCGAAATGATACGCGACTAATGATTCACGCTTCAAAGTTTAGAAACGAATTTCAGAAATTTCGTTAGAGCGATATCGCCTTTTTGATTGACAGACCAGAATTTGGCGGCCGCCCGTAGGATAATTCATTCGCGAATCGCCGACCAACGGCCTCCGCCTGACAGCCTCTGCCGAATTATAGATACCTAGTGTCACCACGTCAGCCACCCTGCCCCCCATTTAGTAGCGAAAGTACCGCTTCATAACAATACAGGCATAACGAAATAACGATATGATCTGGTGAGGTTTGCGAGTTGTGACAGCAATGCAGGCGGATTACTATTGGAATTTCGAGTCATGACTCACACGTATACTATCAGAAAAAGTCGTTAAGCAGTAAGTGTGTCGGCACCAGCAAAGCCACATTATTGTGTTTAGTCAGCAATCTGGCATGCTATTAATGTAGATACAGTGACGTAAACGGGTATCCCGTTAACTATTGATGAAAAAGCAGTTGGCCTACAGTATCGCGTATTTTATGTACAATAGTCATTGTAAAATAATTTACCATACAACACCATATATGATCACAACGCTAGCTCTGTTCTCCTGCAAGATGGAAACTTAGTTTTTCATGTGTATAAGAGCCGCTTGGCAATGTACACATACGCTCATTACCGAAGTATTAGTTCTGTCAAGTTTCAAGCCATGTGGAGCTGATATCGGACTGTCTGTGGACATTGAGGGTAGACGTCAAACGTGTGGATGAGTGAGCCGTGAGCATTCAGTATTCACGCTTCCAAAATCTGATTGATGGATTACAATTGGGCGGCTGATCTCGAATTATATTCTGAATGCTTTTATAGTTGCCTTATTGGCTGCGTCATTCAAGCTAGGTTAAAATCATGACATATCATTTGATTAGTATATCATAAATGTCTTCATAGTACAATGTGTAATTGCGTAAATATATTTTATTGATGTATTTATAATTTAATGTATGAGTTGTATGGCTATCACGTATGTTTCATACTACATACAAGATATATATTTTACATACACACATTATACTTATAGACATACGTGTACCAATTCATAGATGTGTACACATGGTTGTCTGCGTACCACGTCAATTAATCATAATAAACAAAGCCTCAATGAATTTTTCAACGACAAGATAATATTAAGTTGATATGTCTGAATCCGGTAGTCATGTAAGGTATGTTTTAAACATTTCGTGTCTGCCGCTACATATACTTTGTTTTTACTTTAGTGAAACTGACTACAGTATTCTAATAGCTTCTCCTGGGGGCCGAAGATAGTACAAAGTCTTGTCCTCTTGAAGAGAGATAATACGACTTTAAAACCAGCGGCATTGGTTTGCTTGTGCAGACTCTCGTATCCATAGCAGATCTTGCAACCCTCACCTTAGAGTTAGCTTGCCGAACATACACGGATGTCATTTGGTCAGAGATATGAATAATGTCTCCAGATGCGGTGTTTAAGAATACTGGTAGTGGAGAATAGTTTGATGGTCTTTTGCTTTGCGCGCTCCATAATGATTTGGCGGTCTGGTCTATTCTATGGACACAAAGCCAACTCGTTACATGTATTATGGATATTACTTATATTCTACCATTTTATCGATATAAGTATATGTATATAGTATCCATGCCCGAGCTCTACTGATAAAAAATGACGCAGGTATGTAGCTAAGATTTTCCCACTTCATCTGCGATCTGTCAGCTAGATATATACACCGCTCTGACTTCCAGTATACTCGATATTATCATTTGTAGGCTTCTCTATAATCGGTCGTTATCGAATCGAACAGATTACGGCGCCACTGAGACGTTGACAGGTGATATATACGACGGTACAAATGCTTTAGAAGCGCACGAGGTGGATAATGTTACAGACGCCGTGGGGTACAGTGTGCCCTCGTACGAAGGCTTGGAAGACCACAATTACGTGGTGCGCACTCTTTACTACTGGATATACCGTATGCACGATGTGTTGTTGAAGTTGACCACGCCGCAAGAGTATAAGCTTCGCCACGTTCCCGTGCCTATATTGGTCCAGAAGCGGTGGAAGAGTTTACCGCTTACGGCGCTGCCACCCATCATACACCAGTTCACTATTGGATTGTATCTGGTGTTTGGGTTTGCGTTGTTGACCACACTTGTCTACTATGATACGTACGCGGCAGACACCGACTATGGTAAGCCATACCGCTTAGACTGTGGAGACACACTCGGTGCACTGAACAAATCTGTGCACCACTTGGATGGCTGGATACCTGTCCGATGTCCGGCATACTGCCAATATCGGGGAGCTGGTGAGGCACATTTCCTGAACGAAACGGTGTTAAACCAACAATCAGTAAATGGTGGCAGCACTGTTGAACACGATGGAGCGTATCCACGATTTGCTGCACGTGATGCGGAAAGCTCTGATATTTACTTGTTTACAAGGACCTCACCCGTGTGCAAGGCAGCTGTGGCAACTACTACGCTTTTCAGTCCTTGGGTAGGAGGATGTCTTATAGCTCGGGTACATCCGGTAAAGTCTCCGAGTGGAGATGATTCAAGTTTGACTGAAGAGACTACAAACAGTAACATCCCTACCAATGACGGTCCTTCGTTACAAATCGTGCCTGACGCCAATCAACATTTGGCACGGATGGAGAGTAGGAGTGCGAATACGTTGGATTCAAGTATAGGCACCAACGAATTAACAAAGCCACAACAAAACAGCTTAGACCTTCCACGAAGGATCCCACTACAGCTTCAAGCGTGCATGCACAGTCACTGCCAAACGTTTGGGCACTCACTGCTAATAATCGTGGTGCTGTATACGTGTGGTCTCCTCCTGCTCTCACCGTCGAGGCAGACGTTCTTTACTGCACTCATGATGATCGGTTACTGGTATGTTCTGAACTATTTGCCGATAGCTTTTGTATTTGAATCTTGCTAATATTGCTAACTCATATTTTTCTAGCAACCAATAATGTATCAGATTTCAAATTTAAAACACTATACTATGTTTTTTTCTTCAAAGTATGGATGTGTACCTGCGTTGTATTGAGGTAGTGTCCCTAGATCGAGATAGATTGGCGTGAGTTAATTCAAAAGACACATTGACTAGTTTTGACAAATTCTCGCTTTTCTGGGGCCTACAGGTATGTCGTTTTCGTCGTGTATCCTACATACACCGCGAATGGCGTCGACAGAGTTGATTACGCGCTGGGTACGTTCTTCTCCTTTACTGTATTCATCTATGCGATCTTCGATTTTTCGGTCAACATCACACTGTACGACACCGCCTGTGGGCGCTATGTATTCGATACGATGCTCCTGTTCATGCTGCCCTACTTCGTGATGCTACATATGAGCTATATCAAGGTAAGTGTGTGATATATAATCCATTATAGTCTCTGTGCATCTGCTCATGCCGCTCGCGACTTAACTGGTGGTCAACCGCAGAAAAGATACGCCCGTTTCCGCTTTCAGAAGGAACTATTCCAGATACAAAGTGGCGCAGTGCAGTGTTTGGTGCTTCGTCCACTATTGCGCCTTGCTGTGCTCAAAATATGACCGTATGAGGTGTTACATGAGGTATAGTACCTTCAAATCGTTTCAGTTGGATCGCATATACTTCGATGGTTGTCAGACATGCGTTTAAGGCCACAGCGTGAGAGCACACAAACAGTGAGAGCTACACTAATACCACTTCACTCTTCTGGTTCTGCAGCCTTTCCTAGATTATAGTTTCACCCCTGGTGGGTTTTCGGGTTTATCAGACTGGCAAGTGGCTATTGCCGTCATCATCACACTGGCCGTGATCGTGCTCGGGGCTATACAGTTGGCAGAAGTATACCGCCACGGTTTGCTCCCGTACTACTTCATCGGATACGTTGCTGTCATATCCCTGCTGTGCATAATTACTTGGTTGGTAGACATGTCAAACCATCTCATGTTCCACCTGCACCACTACCAACTGGCGCTACTGCTGCTGCCCATGACCCGGTTTTCTGGTCGCTTTAGCGTGTTTTTGAGTGGACTTTTGTTGGGAATGTTCGTGAACGGTGTGGCGTGCTACGGGTTCGATTCCACTTGGGGCTTCAAGCCAGATACATAAGTCAAGTCACGAGAAGTCAAGCGAGAAAGGCTTTTGTAACCACTGCACAGAGGCCGATCGCATGGAACAATTCAACGCCACCGGCCTCGAATGCGAATATCATGACGTGTTGAGCGCAGCATATCAACCATCTCACCGAGGTCTAAGAGGATCAAACACGAACTTCCGTTACATATCATCTTATCGAATTTGCAGGTGTCAAATAGGGTTAGATATAGCTTCTCATACACTAATCTCAGTAGGTACATGAACGTGCCTTGAGTACCATACACTATAGACGATGACGAGCTAGTGCTGACGACCCAATACCTTAAAGCAAGTACCCGCCCTGGTGACTCGCCATGTGCGCGTGTATATCAATTGTGGCCTATTATCAACTATATCCAGTCCGAACCAGTGTAGAAAGCGGATTGCAGGTTGGAGCAGGTAGCAGACGAAAAAGTCAGAATGCAAAAGTAATTAAGACTGCACACATTAACTACTTGAATGCCCTACGAAGGTATATAGTAAGACTATGCAATTCTTGGATAAATCGAGAGTCGAATGAAAATGCTGTTGCACAAGAAAAATTATGGAAACGTACTGTGCATGGGAATCGGATGATTGGGTAATATACATCTAATTCTAAGGTGTGGCAGAAATGAGCAGCCTCTCTGCGAGACTGCAAAATCTAGTTAACCGTATCCAAGTACTTTTTTTCCCGCTAGAATATCCGCATACAAGTAATAAGCACGCATAGCGGGGTACGTATATAACAACAACTAAGCCCAAAAGAACAGCGGCTTAAACATTTAATTTGTAGATTCTCGTTCTAAGAGCACGATAAATTCGAAGTTCGGCGTATTTGGGAATAAGTCAGCCGCCGCCACTCTCATTGGTCGGAAGGGGAGCCCAATGTAGTTGTTGCTTGTAGGTCGGCACAGACTGTAGGCATTGGGTATCAATATTGAAGCGAAATAATGAGATCTCGTTTTGTGCATTGTACTTACCACATATAGAGCACGCGCTTGAAACAATCGCCACATTGCTAGAGGGTAAAACAAATCAGGAGTGCATACCGTTCGTAGATTTTAAATGAGATAATTTATTTTATGGCAAGTCGTCCTGAATTAGAATTGCTTACACAGCCCAATCGAAGATATTCAAGCATGTTCACGGGCCTATCAAACTTGTGTGCCTCGAAACAACTGGCTTACCTGGTCAAAGTCGGCAATGACTGTCGAGCATCGCAAGCCACGTACACAAGTCGATCAATCTGGGGAGTTGCACGTATGACCTTCACAACGTCCTTATCTATATATGTGAGACAAAGCGGTCGGTTGGGTATTTAGACTGCGGTAGAAACATGCACAACTCAAACTTGTCGATCTGGTCTGTGATAATATTGGAACGATCTGAGCCTAAGATTTGATTGCCAATGAAGACTTGTGATTGGTATCACACACACAAGAAGTATAGAACATACGTAATCCAGCACGCGGTGGGTCTAGGATGCCCATGAGACCCATATTCTCCAATAGCGCTGTGTTCACAAGCTTGCCCAGGGTGTCCTCGGCCTTACCACATACAAACTCGATGTTCTTCATCTCATTTTTCAAGGCATTTTTCTTCGCATCCTCGATCGCAGATTCGACAATGTCCACTCCAAAAACCTTATTCGCGACTGGCGCCATCAGCATGCCTATAGTCCCCGTGCCACAACATACATCCAATACATTCACACTTCGTAAAACGGAATCCTTGCTCGCGTCTTTCGACCCGTCCTTCTCAGCCTTGATATCAGTTTGCGCATTGCCATCGTGATGTACCCCCATGTCATATAATTTCGCCTTTCCATCACGCTCCTTCGCACTCTTGGCTCCTGCACCTAATTTTTTAGTCTCACCTGCCCATTGACGGATCAGTGAATACAAATTCTCCGCACCGCCGTAGTTAACCTGAAAGAATGACGTTGGGGATATATCAAATTTGAGACCCATCAGTGTCTCTTCTAGTACCGGAGGCCCGTGTACCAACTGAATGTCCGAACCGAATCCATGCGAAATCCCTTCATAGCATTGTAGTGATATAGACTTCACATTTCCTTCCGGAAAGTTCTCTGAGAAATGTACGCCGAGAAGTTTGCCCTGTTCCGTTATCTCGGTCGTGGAAAGTTTCTGAGGGTGCATCTGGGCCACAATCATGATCTCGCCAGCATGCGTCTCGCGCACAAGCAGAAGGCGCCAGTGTCCGGTGCGTTCCTGCGTGTTATAAATGGGAAGTTTGGACATCTCTGTGATGAACTTCTCAAAGTGTAGACACACGGCCTTCATGCCCTCAGACACCAAGGGACACTCCGTGGGCCGTACAACATTCGTACCGTCAGCGCTTCTTCCCAATAAGAACCCCACATGCACCTCACCCTCGGCCGATTGCCCTAGCGAGAATTCGCATTTATTTCTGTACCCTTTAATTACTTTGGAGGGGATTATAGACTCAACGGGACATAACGGAGACGCATTCACCCAGTCCACACCCGCTTTGCGTAGGTCTCTCTTCCAATCGTTCATCACGGACTTCACTATACCATCTTTCTTCAATAGTTGTTGGTCGTATGGATATCTCCAATACGCGGCCACCTTGTCGTTAATTTGTTCGTGTAGTGGTAGTGTACTTTTCGGTCGTTTGGCTCTCTGATCGTTCTCGGTAGACCTATCTCCCGGTCTCTTCTCACCCACCAACTGTACAGCCAAACGTGCGCGCATGTATTGCAATTAGTGGGAGTGAACCAAAGTCACCTATATCGGCATAAACTAATACTGTACATGGATTGTATGCACGTCACAACAGCAGTGAGAACATCTTATGTTCTCCCCGAATACTCAGAAACCCTTTCGATGTCAATCCAATGCGAGTCTGAGGTATTTTACACGGCTCACATACAGCTCCAAAAACTCATACACAGAGACACCAGAGAAACGGTCGCCGCAGATAAACACTGCGCTCGAAAACACAAAAGCTCCTGCATTCGCCCGCGAGCGATTTGTGCGCGTACCTGTGTGCCCTTCTTAGGCGCTGCGTGTATGGCGTAGATATTGTTATTCTTCCAAGTCGTATCGTTCAACACTTTCAGCGCCTTCTGTTTGTTATCCTCGTTCTGCAGATCAATTGCAGTGTATAAGAGTGAGCAGGTGTGTTTTCCAGCCTCATACAAAGCAGATAGCATTGTGTATTTTGTACACATCAATTTCACCTGGCCCGCTGCAATATACGATAGTGATTTATTTGTGTTGCGCACATTTCTTGCGTGATCGTTGCACGTTAAATCGTTCCTACACCTTCCTGTGTGTGCCATACTTTTGCTTCGCATAGAACTGGATATCAAGTGGAGTACAGTCTGCACTGGGCTTTAATATTAAAGTGAAGTGCGGGAATCTTCCATATAAATGAATAAATGAACAACTCATAAACTGTGAACTTACCTCAAACGTGACGAAGGAATACGGATATTGCTTGGTACCCTGGACGGATACTTTGATAGGTTTGAGGCCTAGTTGTCCCAGTTTCTTTTTAAACGCCGCCACGCTTGTAAACTGCAAGAATCCCGGGAACGAACAGTGAGTACAAACTGGTCTACGGAAACCTATCGTACGATACAGTTCGTCTGAAATACCCCAAAGTCATTGATGGATTCGACCCGCAGAAAAGATTTGCATATCGTATACTCATACACCTCTCTGCAATTTGACCATATATTTTACCTCGGACGCACTTGCTCTTAATTAGACAAATGTCCTACCTCAGCTTGAGGTATGCAATAGCTTCGTCATCTACCCACAGCAACACACTGCGCGCGACTCTCACGTCGTGAACAATTTCGAAAATTAGCACATTGTCATACCTTAGGCAGGCTATCCACTTTGATTCGATATATCTCCGATGTGAAGCCTTCGTCTCCACGCTTCAACGTTTCTTGTACCGGTTTCTCCTTGCCTGGTGTTTGAGTAGTGCCGTCAGTGTCCTTTGTTGGAACATTTAAACTATCATCTGCATCATTCTCGGTCAAGCAGTTAGGTGCAACAACCTCAGTCGCACCATCGCTAGCTAGGGCAGTCGGTGTTTCACTAGTCGCAGAGGTAGTCTTAGCTGCAAGACATTCACTGTTTTGTGCAGGTTTTACCTTAATTGATGAGATACTGGCGGCGCTATCAACGTCCATCGGTGTGTCAGTAGAAATGGCTTCTGCTTTGATCTCTGATACAGTCTCCATCGGGGTGTCAGTCGAAATGGCTTCTGTTTTGATCTCTGCTGCAATCTTCATCGGTATACTATCTGACGCTACTTCTGCTGCAACAATTGAGCCAATTTCTGCCGGGTTGTTTTCAGATACACTTTCCAGTGCAATGTTTTGCACTGTAGTCTCAAATTTAACTGTCACTGGTGCGATTACACTAGTGTCGCTAATAGGGGCAGCTTCAACTACCATACTTGCCGACTCCGACACATCCGCATCGTTCTTGAAACTATCTTCGGTCGCATCACTTGGCTTGATACCGACCCCGATCTCACTCTTTACTGTTTCGACAGCAAATACTGCTTCAGCTTCATGGCCTGAAAGAATTTCAACGGACTCGACATTAGCCGAAGACACTGGAGCTTCGTCTTTCACATCCGCAAAATCCACATTCATCTTGTCTACAACCTCAGATTTAACTTCTTTCATGGTCTTCTCTACGGTAGTACTTTCAGCAGCATCTACATTCACCTTATCTACAACCTCGGACTTAATTTCTGTTATAGCCTTCTCTACGGTAGTACTTTCAGCTACATTCGTCTTATCTACAACCTCAGACTTAATTTCTGTTATGACCTTCTCTATGGTAGTACTTTCAGGAATGATAGTGGGGATAGGCATGGTGCCGACAGGCTCAATCGAATTAGTGTGCTTTTCCTCAGACATGATCAATTTTAAAGCACTACCAAACGATACTCGTTCCTTTTGTGCTGCGGTGGCCTCGGGTTTCCGGCACTTATTATATATCCGCAATGTATTCTCAGCAGTAAACTATAATGGAGGCGGATATGCCAAAAGTTGTAAAGTAAAGGTAAGTATCCCTTATTGCTCACATATACAGATCGTTGCTATCCATTGATATACCGATCGAGTTTAATAAAACATTTACGCATATATACGTGATACGATGTTGTATGAATCTTTATTTATAAATATATGCTCGGAGCTGCCGACTGGGAGAAGCCAAAAGGAAGTTCAAAATGCCGGTCAAAAAACTTTTGGCGGCGACTTATTCGGCCACTGCCCACTGTAGGAGACACGTGACGGACTGACGGACTGACGCCGTTCAGCCGCTGGGAGACTTCCGTATGCGCCGACGTTGTATGATTTACATTTATTTATTTATTCCTTTTTCCTTTTGGAAGAAATGGTTTCTTTTAAAAAAAAACAAAAACAAATGTATTTACCGTGTTTGGGCTGTTTAGTTTTTTGTGGCTTTACACGCCGATGTAAATACATACAAACCTATGTGGCGCCAGCGATATTAAATATAGATAGTCAGCCACATGAATATTCATATATTCATAGATAACTAGATATTCAGCCATATTACATACTCACCTGTTGCTGTCCGGTTTAGAAAAGCTACCACGTACGCAGGCGACACTCTTAAGAATACAAATACTAAAAAGTATCATAACAGCCCTAGGCTTAAATCGACAATGTCTGCTCAAGAAACGCGCATCGCCGACCTAGAAAAGGAAGTTGCAAGGTATGTCGCTACGTCTATTCCTGTTCTATCATGATTTCATCGAAACTGAGTTTAACATCATTGGAATACCTGCCTTTATGGAATAGCTTTGCTTTCCAGATGGTAATAGAGCGGCGTGGTGGTTGGAGTGTTTAATTGTGTATATATTAGTGATATCAGCCAATTTGTGTACGTGAGTCCGCGTCGGCTCTCTTTTGCAGCATCTGATTCACTGCCGCTTTCCCTTTTAGATTGCAATCATGCTTAACTGTAAAAGGAGCGCCGAGGAAAGACTGGTCGGAAAAGATCGAAAACTTCAAGTTTAATACTATAGAGGAGGCTTTAGAAGCGATTAAGCAAGGTAGGAGCTTTGTTCTAGGTCATATCGTGGATAGTAATGTTTCCATTTCGAACTTTGTAAGTGGGACTTTATGAAAGTCTGCCATTGTTATCCAATCAATAACCACACCAGGTAAATTTTGGCATACACGATAAACGATTGATTTTAATTACGATCCAAGTACACCGAACACGCATATTCATTCACCTTGCAGTTTTGATCGTGATACTTTCCTGTTGTATTAATCTGAAACATAGACGCCAATATTTTTTAGTGATATATATAAATATATATATATATATATATATATATATTGTATTCATATGTACATATTGTATTCATTTGTACATATATATATATATATATATATAAATATATATATATATATACATATTGTATTCATATATATATATATATACGTGTATATATTTGTTGTGTATCATTGCTACCGAAGTATTTGTATTTGCCAATGCAACTAGTATATATATATATGCTTCATGCGATTCTAGTTAATATCAAATTTATGTGTTGTTATGTTATACATACGTATTCATCTTTTATGTATGTATATACAGTTATGTGCGTACATGACTATATCCTAATACGTATACATATATTTGTATCTGATTATCTGTATAATCATTTTAAGTGGAGACCTTTATATATAAATTGATCATATGTTTGTGCATAGATGTCACTGTTTTTGTTTAACGTACCACATGTATACAAGGATGTGCGTGTGTATGGTATACATGGCTTGTACGTATTCTTCAAACCATAAGTTGAATGGAGCTGGCTCTATTAAAGTCAGACGCACACACGTGCAGATTTTACACTCTTTTAGAATAATTCTTAGTGTGTATTCGGCTTCTGGTTTTCTTTCCAATTTTTGTTGTCCCGGTATATACCTCTTCCGGTGTGTTGCTCAAATGTCGCTTCCGAGATAATTTAGTGGATTCTCTTTTACAATGCCATTATAGTACCTTGAGCAGAAAATGGATGTGTGCTGTTCAATTGTTAGAGCTCGCCATCGCTCGTTTTGGCTATTCAAGTACTCTCCAGTGAGGTCGAGTTCTCGTCCAATAGTACCACACGGTGTAAAATATTTGGGCTACTCACCAGTTCTCAAGTTTTAGCAACCCTTATACTCTTACCACAAAATATTGTAAGCGATAGGACTAATGTGCCCTCGAGAAATCGCATGCTCATTCTCAATAGTTTGAATCTGCGGGTGAAAAGCCGTGGCTTGAGCTATGCACAGAGGCGAGTTTGATGTTGATCACAGGTACAGGGTTCTGATTATTTCATGTATTTTTTTTGTAGGTGAATTCGTGGTAGTTTTAGATAATGAAGATCGCGAGAACGAGGGTGATCTCGTAGCGGCTGCAGAACTCATGACACCTGAGAAAATGGCCTTCATGATCCGTCACACAAGGTGTGTTATAATTACAAACGATTTTCATCGCGGACGCGAGTTTGAGTTGTGTATTCGATAGCAAGGGATTTTTTTGGTCTAGTATAGAGTACCTCTGTTACTATTACGAGCACGGACGCATGTGTCATGCCTGTATGCACAGCATAATTGATTGGTTTGACATCTTACGATATTGGAGGGACCGAACTTATTTTTGGTGGATACCGTGAAAAGTCTTTGATGAAGTGATCACGAAGCAGTGATTGCCATTAACTTCGAATATGAGTAGTGTAATTGACCAGTGGAAATGTAATAGTGCTATAAATTGACATCCGACTAAACCATTATTATTATTTTATGCGCAGCGGTATTGTCTGTCTCAGTCTAACGAAACCCGACCAGGAACGCTTGGAGTTGCCAATTATGGTTGTGAACAATACAGAGAAGCACCGAACGGCATTCACGCACACTGTCGACTACGCTGTTGGGACGACCACCGGTATTTCGGCTGGTGACAGGTATGTTAATGTATATTGCCCAACTCATTTTGTTGATTGGAAGTATGGTCAGACTATGGCGAAAACTTTGGGCCTGAAAGCTAGCGCATCTTTTCGATAGTCAATCAAGCTAACGCCGCGGTGAAATGCGCGTCATAAAAATTGATGTATCTACTTATTTATATTTTCCAGATCGGCAACGGTGACCGCGGCATGCGACTCATCAATTAAAGCATCGGAATTTAATCGACCCGGACACATATTCCCACTAGTCTCGGTAGAGGGCGGTGTCTTGACCAGAATGGGACATACAGGTGTGTGAATTGAAGTCTTTTGCTTTAACATATGTAAGAAGATCGATAGCTAAATGCGAGAATCGGAAGGTAGTCGAACTTTGGGAAATGTGAAGACTCTGTCTCTGACCAAAAAAAAATTACGCTTGTTTTGTGAATGGTTTTCATGCAGAGGCGACGTCGGATCTATGCAAGTTAGCCGGACTAAAACCTATGGGAGTGCTGTGTGAAATTGTGCTGGATAACGGGAACATGGCACGACGAAGTGATTTGGAAACTTTCAGCCGAGAATACGGCCTAAAAATCATCACCATCAGTGACCTCATCGAATATCGCAAAACAAACAATATTTAGTTATATATCCGAGATGGCGAGTAGCCATTTAGCCCATTAGTTGTGGGTGTGAAGTACTTGGCAGTATGTAATGCCATTGCGCGATTCTGCCAGACAAATGCTATCGGTCGACTTTCCAATATACATGGATCCAGAATTAAATAGTAGCCTCATGTATTGTAACAACCCTTGTTACTTCAGCAATTCACTTCGTATCATTGTTGGTTACTTGATTCAAGCTCTACTAGATGTATATATATTTTCTAATTTTCGTTCTAACTGTTGCTCGATTGCGGTGTTGTAATGATAATCAGGATCATGCATACAGTATTTACGGTTTGTGATGCTTCTCTTGTGTAAAATGGGTATTTATTGTAATCGCAGAAAAGCGAAATATGAAAAGAGATTACTTTGATTATTACTAAGTGGCGGTGATGGATTGTGTGTTAAGCGAGCACGCTGTTGATACTGAGGTAATCTAAGCTTGTGATATCCCAGTATGTCCGGCGTGAACCCTATCCGCCTATATCGGGGAAAATTGTAAGACACTATAATACATAGCAAGTCTGGAAATGTGGTCTCGCAATGGAGTTCAATGCCCAAATGCTCGCTTTTTGTTGTCCGACAAAATAGCCTACTTTTCTGCAGGGCCTGTTAAAAGTGTCGAACATTAAATTTACAAAAACGGTAATTGAATGGGCGACCCAACCCCACGTTTGGACAAGTTGCTACTCGTCTGTCAAGGATCGGCTCGCTGCAGCTGCGGTGCAGACTGAATCGTCCTTATCGGTAACCGTTCAATCGCGTGAGGATTGATAGCAGAGAGATATCCCATCGGATGGTACTGCTTACACCTAACGGAAGATGGTCCTGATACCCCTCGTTCCTCATTTGTGCTCAGCGGGGAGTGTCAGTTTTTCCGTTCTCTTTGATTGTATGCTCGCCCGATGCCTCTATGACCAGTTCGTACACGGGCACCAGTGTACTTATAGCGACTGGAGTGGGGAAGTAGGCAGGGGAATGTCCTGTAGGAAAACAGGAAAGGAGACCAGGTCAACACATGACTCTGCATAGTTGTACCGATCGAGCGGGTGAATATGTGAACGATAATTTTGGAACAAACTTTGCACCGGTCCTGTGCAGCGAGTTTTGGTTTTTAAGCCACGTTTCAGTGAGCCCTATCAAAAATATTGATTGATACATACCCGCTTTGATGTTGACTGAATTGCGGCTCTCTTTCCTTTCGAGAGTGGCGTGCATATCCTGACTGCCCAGCAATTGTTCATCCTCACAGGCAACGCCTTCCCGTGAAGGGCTGCAGCTTCTGATCTGTGACCCTCGTCTCCCTAACCGATTACAATCCTTGACGTCGACACCATTCACAATCCTCGGCAAGCTTGATGCACGGTTGATAGGCTGGGCCGAATTGTGCCTGCTACCGCGCTTGCGCAACTCCTCATCAGAGCTTTTGTTGTCACCCAGCCGGCTATTGGAACGACTGTTTGTACCACTGAGAGGGAGCTCGGCGTCCAATGGTACTGCAGCCGGCATGTCCTCGGACGGCAACACAATCAGAGAGTGCCTCCTATTGCCAGAGAATGAGCCCCTCGGGCTGATAATCCTAGTCAATGCCGGCATAGCATCACCAGCCACGTCTGGTGTTTGCTCTCTGCCGAGCTTGCTCTCCGCACTTGCATTGAGAGCTGCAACACTTGCGGTCACGTCATCAATACCCGATACAATAGACCCAAGTGCCCGGTCTATACTAGGGTTCATTCGCGCGTCCCCTACTTTCAACTCATTTGCCGAAGGTTTGCGCTTCATTTTCTTACTCTGCCGAACACTGTCACCGTATCTATCAGAATGATCAGAACGGACTCCAAATGCGCTCGTGCTTCTCTTAATATCAGCAGCAGCTATTGTGTCCGTCATTGATTGATTGCTAAGATCATCGAGGACGGATTTCGAACGCGCCGAAAGAAACTCGCGTGTGCGATCTCTCGCATCAGTCACCGAAGGTCTTGGAGCTGACATAACGACCTTGAATCGGATAGCTTGGTTTGAAGGCTCGTTTTCAGCTACTGTTCCGCCCGTTTCGTCTTCTGAGCCGTCGCTGTTAGCTTCGAGGGTATGTATAATATCAAGTTCCGCGGCTGTCCTTTTGCCCCTAGAGCTTCCATTGTGTTGCTGAGCAATGTCTTCTGCGTTGGTATTGGTTGTGTCACTTTTCCCACCAACAGTAGATTGCGTCTTGGTCTTGCTTGGGAGCCGGAGTTTCACAGTGAGGTCCTTCGAACGCGAGGTTTCCACAGGAATAAGCGTGGTTACCTTCTCAGTAGCATCAATCACTCTCTCGGCACTGTTTTCTTTCTCCATGCCAAGCCTCTCGGAGTTTTCACCGGAAATATTTGTTGAGCTAAAATTATCGGCATTTGCTATTTTGTTGAGGCCCTCCTTGGAATTATTAATTCTATCTGAATTCCTACCGTCATTATTTACACTTGTATTTACGCTATCGTGTTTTCTGTTGCTAAACGTCTCGGTATCATTCGTGTCCTTAGCAACCGCTGCAAGACTTGCTACATCTGCATCGGTAGACTTCATCTTGACCTTTGATGCTTTGGCAATTGCGTGCAGCTCATCACTAGGAATTCTAGCCTCTGTAGATTTAGTGTTTACTATACCAGGTTCGTTCGATGTGCCATAGAGTTCATTTTCTATTTTTTGGCCTTCACTGGTTTCGACGGTCGATTCGAGGTTTTTAGCATCGACACCGTTGTTCTTACTTGCACCTTGCAACGTTTCTGCCACATCCGCCGAAGCTGTAGGAGCGGACACGCCAGATTCTGCAGCAGCTGCTGCTGATGTTCTCACAGGCTCTCCTGTGGTTGTAGAGCTTGCGTTTTCAACTGATAAACCCCTACTCGTGGCACCATTCAGTCGCTTCTCGGCACCCAGCGGCTCAGTGCTCTTACTTCTGCCATACACTGGCGCCTTTTTCACATTCAGACTCCCACCCACGCCGCGTACTTGCATGTCTGCAGGAGTATGCGTTCTTTTGAACGGTTTCTCGAAGTGATCCAGTGGCACGGATGGTGGAGGTGACACAGACCGATTCCGTTTGGACACCGTGCGGCGCGAAAAAGGACTGATAGGCGGATCTTCAGACTCGGACTGGGAATTTGGAACGGTTGTTACCTGCGCGGAGCTTTTGCGACTGTATACGCCGCTATTGTTTTTACCACCACGGCCGGCCGCTTTAGAACCCTCTTTCAATCTTTTGTTATCACTGAGAGCTGGGTCCGAGGAGGGGTCCTTCCTCCGCGTAACTTGCATATTTGTTGAACTAGCAGACTCACTGGAACCGTCATCAAGCGACAAATCTGCTCTTTCATCACTGTCCGTGTCCGTGAAGTATCCCTGGCCATCCCTAGTCTTGGTACTGGGTTGTGTCTCGTTGGCGACCTGCTCTTCGGTCGTTTCCGGTTCAGTCTTCTCCTTCGACAGACTCTTGCCATCGACACCACTGATCTCGTGGCTTTTACTTTGTTCATTGCCACTGTCAATAGCGGGCCCACTGATGGCGGCTGGAATGGTGATATTTACTTCCTTGTCCAAGTCGGTGGGGTTGACGGGCAGTGGGGGGATGTCACTCGAGTTATGAGCCGCATCAGCGTCCATCCCATCATTGTCTGCTTGCTCCGATTGAGGCCTGCATAGATAGGATACCGTAAGTTTTGAGCTGACATAGTATGTGCGTGTACATTGTCCACGACCACAGATATATGAACGCACGCAAATGACACATAATGTGGCGGCACTTTGATACGAGTTTACGAGTTTCGACTATCCCTTTGAAATGTGACTCAAAACGTATACACTACCCTTTTCAGTCGAGTCCATATTCAATTGGACATGACTCAAAAGAACGGCCGGGATGAATGTATACTTATGTGAATAACGACTACTATATCTGTACTTGAAAATATGATCGTTCCACATGTGGTGATACATGATGCACATGTATATCAATGAAGTTCAACGCAACAATTCTAAAACGTTCAAATGAGTGAAAACACATCTATCGACGTGCATAAAATTGATAGACTGGATTTGCGCCCACACAGACTGCATTGTACCCAGCAAAGACGCAGTTGACGCCTTGTCTAGGACCATTGCTAAAAAAAATGAGATTCTTACGGTATACTTACTAGTTCGAAACATCCTTGCATAAACATGTACAAGCACAAGATACAAATTCGATTTTATATTATACAATGTGAGTTATACCACAGCCAATTCGATAGCGAAGGCACAATAAAGAAATATGCACGTTTAGATGTGGAAAGAAGCCTAACTTCGACAGACTCTAAAATATAAACTGCGACATATACGTGAACACCCATAGCCTCGAAGCTCATATAGACGAACGAAGCTTTCGAATGTGAGCGTTCAATCATCATAGTCCGGCTAAAATGCGTTCGCGCAGAATTTTGCAATCGAAAGTGATCAACACAGCATCGGAATTTGGCGATATCTCTTAGAGGTGAACAGACAAATTTCGATATTCCCTAAGCGAAAGTCATTTGGGACGATGCACTACACTTGCCAGACGTTAAAATGGCTAGATGCTAGTTTGGAGCCTCTCACTAAGCACTTCAGACGTATGACACGAGATCATCCCGTTCACATAAAAGCTCATATCTGATGTTCAAACGAGAACTTTTTTGATACATACCTTTGACTATCGATCATGTTGGCTGTACATACGAAGCTGCGCCCTGCTGTGTCTAAAATGGACACCTCTATGTCTGAAGCTGAAAATGAATCCTCTACATAAAATAAACAAAGAATATTTTATCAGACTATGTTTTACAAAAGCATCCCAAACCAACAGAAATTCGTCATTTAACGCATCTACAATAATTGCGCTGGAAACTTCTGTTAATGAATCATTGCGCTATTCAACGGCCCAAATTACAATGGATCATATGCGGATTTTCGTCTCCATAGAAAAGACTACTGTCCAGAGATGAAGCAGAAGGACAGATTGCTATGTACAGTCAAATACGCATAACAGGAACAACTCGTAGACATTGGATTACACTATACTACACGCACACACACACACACACACACATATATATATATATATATCTATGTATGTGTGCGTGTGTGTATGTATGTATATGAATATGTGTATTTATGTAAATATATATATGTATAT